TCCTGGCACAGACAAGTGGGGGCTTCTAGTACTTCAAAAGCTTCTTGAAACATTTCTATTGGTATTCTATCACTTCCTGAACCTTCGCTTTTGGAAAATGCTTTCACTCGAACTTCTTCTTTCAGCACCATTGGTTCTGAAATAGTGGAATGTCAACTAGTTCTTCCTCGTACCATTACTCTGTATACTCGTTCCATCTTCTTTAGATGCTTTCTGCATCATTCAATACTTTGCCCATAGAATCTTTCAATATTGCAACCAAAGGCATGACTTTTTTCATAAGTTCTCTTATTTTAAGATATGCTGAGCATGGTCTTCCCTTTTGGTGTTCTAATTCTAGGTCTTTGCACGTTCATTATAATAATTGGCTTTGTCTTCTCAAGCTGCCCTTTGAAGTCTTCTATTCAACTCTTGGACTTCATCCTTCTTCCATTTGCTTTAGCTACTCTACAATTAATAGCAAATTGCAGTCTCTTCTGATATCCACTTTGATCTTTTCTTTCTTTCCTGTCTTTTTAATGGCCTTTGCCTTCCTTCATGAATGATGTTCTAGATGTCCTCCCACATCTCATCAAGTCTTCCAGCCATTAGTGTTCGATGTGTCCAATCTGTTCTTGAGATGTTCTCAGGTGGGAGAGACTCATGGTCCTAGTTTGGGTCTCATGGACTTGTTTTCATTTTCTTCAGCTTTACCCTGAACTTACAAATAAGCAGTTGATGGTCTGTACCCAAGTCAGTGCCTGGCCTGGTTTTAGCTGCTGATGTCGAGCTTCTCCAGCAATTTTCCACAGATGTGGTCAATTTGAGTTCTGTGTATTCCCTCTGGAGAAGTCCACATGTACAGTCACCTTTTGTGTTGTTCAAAAGGGGTATTTGCTATGAACAAGTCTTAGGTTTTGCAAAATCTATCATGTGATTGCCAACTTCACTTCTATTACCAAGTTCATATATTCCAACTTTGCACTATGGTTGCCAATAATTATCAATGCATGTTGATTGTATGTTTGGTCAATTTCTGACTGTAGTCATTGGTAGAATTCTTGAATTTCTTCATCACTAGTTTTTGTGGTTGGTATATGAATTTTCATAGTTGTATTGATTAAATTTCCTTAAAGGCTATTGGATGTAAATCCTATCACGGATAGCATTGTGATTCATGATTGATTTTTGAAATGTCTTTCGACAATCAATGCCATGATGTGTTCTTCCTGCCATTATCAATCATTTGATTTTCTGATTCAAAATGGCCAATACCAGTCCTTTTCATCTCACTAATCCCTAGAATATCAATCTTAATGCCTTCATTTCATTTTTGACCACTTCCAAATTCCCTAGATTCATACTTAACACATTCCAAATTTTGATCATTAGCAGATTTTTGCAGCTGTTTCTCCTTACCTTAAGGATCTTGAAGGTTCCACTCCCACAGTCTTTACTCAACTCACATCACCATGGTCGACTGTACTCCAAGAAAGCAGTTCCTCCTTGGTGTCATTTTGAGGGCCCTCTGATCCCAAAGGGCCCCGCCTCCAGCACTAACTCTGAAAATGTTCTGCTGCCATTCATTAGGCCTTCAGTATTGGCCAATGTGTTGAAGCTTTGCATGAGGTTTTCTGCGGTTCCTTCTGCCGAAGTGGGGAGCCAAGTCCTTTCTTAGTCTGGAAGGTCTACTGAAACCTGTTCAACTTTGAGGGATGCCACTGGTGTTTGAAATGCCAGTGACATAACTTCCAGCATCACAGTAACACTCAAGCCACCACAGCACAAAAGACTGACAGTCAATTGATGGATAAAAAAACTCTAGAGAAAAGTTCTCCTCTAACACATTGTGGCATCATGAGTTAATGGTTAATTTGATGGCAACATGACACTAATTACACATATTTACAAACTGCACAACCCTCAACACATTTTCATAAGCGTTCTATATCTAATTTGCTGTTGTTGCAGACTTCAAAGTCTTTGGGATTTTTCTCTGATTTCCCCCACCCCTCCTCTCTGTCCTACAGATATAATGGTGCCAGGATAAACTCTTCTCATGTGAGCTAGTTACTTTATTGTGCCAACCTGGCTGATAAACACAAGTGGGGTTAATTGAAGAACAGAGGGATAAATGGCTCAGGGAGCCTCGCCTTTCTAGTTCTCAGGTCTCTTGCTTTGTGATGGTCACACCAGGGTGCAGCTGCTTTAGCAAGTTCCCTGCTTTAGCTGACAAGGCTCACTTCCTGCAAGACATCCCTGAGGAGAAGCCACATGGACCTACCCCGATGCAGCCCTGGGTGCTAGCGCAGCCGTGTAGAGACCCCTGCCAGTGCTGAGATACTTACACATTCACTGACTCAGCTTTCTTCCTGCAGTCGGCATCATTGTATGTGTTTTGTGAGATGGAGGAGGACTTTGTGGATTGGTGTCAGACATATGGGTTAATGGGTTAATGTTGGACTTGTGGGCTTAGGCGGAACTGGATTGGGATGTTTTCTTGATGCACACTTAACCTTTATATTAAACTCTCTCTTAAACATGAGTTTCTGTGGATTTGTTTCTCTAAAGTACCCGGACTAACACATCATGTAATTGTCTTTTATGGTAGGTTTTTCCCCAAACCAAATGTAACGAATAGTGGACCAAAAGAAGCTGTGGTGGAAATGGGACACCACGCTCACACCAAAGAGTTATGAATTCACAAAGAGCTAGAAATTAGTAAGCCAGGTTTTATCCTTGGCCTAAAGCTACAAGAACAAGATTTTTCCATTTTATTGCTTTTATAAATCTTACCCTGAAACGTAATTTCTGATCATCAGCATCTTTCATATCAAGGAGAAATAATCTTTTAAAAATAGTTCATCAGTTTATTTATTCATTGCCATTCATGTCATCATCCAACTCCCAGTGTCCTTCAAAGGCTGATTTCTTGTTGCAATCACCATTAAAATATTTCAGAGCTGCCCACCACCACTCTTCCAACCGAGGTCATTGTCATGGCCTGCAGAATCTTCCTCGTCAGCATCATCAGTATTCTGAATGACACACAACTTCCAGCCCTTCTGAAGCCTTGCATGTGGAACATGGAGCTATTTTCCACCAAGCAGAAGCCAATTAGCTTTGGGTACACAATGTGTGTTTTCATGATTCATTTTCTCCACCTCTTTCTCGTCTTTCTCCTTTCACGAATGGATGACTCTTTGACGTTAAGCTCTCTCACCTCTCCAGTCTTGACCTCTCACGATGCTGCTGCTCGGATGCATGATTCTGCTACCCTTGCGATGACTTTTAGTTTGAAGTCGGTAGTGTAGGGCTTGCATGTACTTCCTGACAGGATCCTACAAGGTTCTAACAAATCCATTTGTGAAATGAAAAAGGTGTACAATCTAATGGGCAACTGGGTAATTCTAGGAAATTCAACTCCCTGTTCTCAAGTCATTTCTGACTCAGAGAGAATGCAGAATTCAAATAGGATGTGTCCAATAAGCAAGCTATGCTGCCAGGCCTATGGCCAAGGCAACTCATGACCATTGATCAAAGACATTGGTGCTAATAAGCCATAATGAGACTGTGAAATAAGCAGACTTAACACAGCCTAATGGTTTCACTCAAGATGATCTGATTTCATATATCAGTTTTGTTTTCTTTGTGCCTCCAATTAAAAGCTAGAGCAAGAAGATGGCATGATAATTATGTCAATGCAGATTGAATCAAGATGCCTATTTATAGCTACTCAATGCCACTTAATGCCAGTGCGGGCTTGACTTTGTTTACGATTCCAAATGATAACATGTGATTTACGGACATGCTTCAAGGTTCCAGGTTCTGATTGCTGACTCAAAAGCTACAGGAAATAATTAAATTGGTAACACAATTCCAGTTTCAATTGTTCATTTTCCAAACTCGATAGACAACTGATTGACTATATCTTATAGCTCTGTTACACAAACATGTTCAAAAGTAACGTGCAGAATACTGAATGAATGTGAACAAGGCTGAAATTTACTTCTGATAATGTCCTGAGATATGCACAGTGTACAGAGGCCTCATATGACAGAACTTTTTCACATGAGTTTGTCATTTCTGCATGGTAGACACATGTGCAAATACTATTTACAGCAGTTCACTATTCACAAAAGACTGAGATGGTATATTTCACTGAAAGAGACTTTTAAGAGACACAAAAACAGTAAGAATTATTTCAACAGATTAATCCATTTTAATAAATATTTTCTACACTTGACACTTCAGATATTGCCGCCCCCCGTATTGCATTTACTTTATAAAATAATAGAAATAATTTAACCAGAACATCAAATTAAAGAATTCGCAGGAATATAGACCTTTTTAAATAAATGTATCTCATTGAAAAACTACATTAATTTAAAAAATCAAAACATGTTAAAAAAAACATGCTAATTTGAGGTTGATTTAAACTTACAGTAGGAGCCTTGGTGGCATAGTTGGCTATACATCAGGCTACTAAACGCAAGGCCAGAAGTTCAAAAACACTAGCTTTTCCGAGGGAGAAAGACGAGGCTTCAACTCCCTTAAAGAGTCTTGGAAACTCTCAGGGGAAGCTCTACTCCCTCCTATAAGGTTGCTACGAGTCAGAATTGACTCAGTGGCAATGGGTTTGGTCTTTGGAGTTAAACTTATTTTTAAAAAATGATAAAAATGCATAGGTGTCCATAAAAACACGTGAAAGTGTTTCACAACGGATGGAAAACTAGGAAACATGAACGTGACGTCACCAGCCTACAGTGCCAGCTGTTGTCATTGTGTGCCTTCAAGTCACGAACCCATGTGACAAAGAAGTGCCCACTCTGGATAGCAAGCTTTATGGACGCAGATCACCGGGTCTTTCTTCCATGGCACTGCAGGGCACATTCAAACTCTCACTCCTTCAGTCAGCAGGCCAGCACTTCAACACTTTGCCACCGAGACTCCGTGTGGAACAGCTACTCTGTGTTTACAGTGGGAAGGGAAGATGAAATGCCATCCACATCAAGACTCACCTCTGGTGACAGCATAGAGTGCACAGCCACTTCCTGTTGCTCCTCCTCCGATGACAAGGATATCAAATTCCGATGTGTTTTGCAAAGTCAGTAATTGAGCTTCTCTGGAAGGAGGCTCCCTGTTAACCATCTCTGTTACGCAGTCTGCTGCTTCAACATAGGCCAGGTTCATCTGATGGAAAAGCAGAAAATGTTCAGTTATTTGTCTGAAAGACAGCCATTTTAATAAAGTTTGTGATACCGTGCTTTAAAAAGTGATCTACACTGACGATAACTATAGCGTAGGCAACTGTGAAGTGCTTGAAATTCTGGTTTTCAGCGAAAAAGTGGGCAAAAGGTGTGAACATTTAGCAACAATGACATCCAAATGGCCAACAAAAATATTAAGAAATTCTCACAGTCACTAGCCATTTGAGAGATACAAACCAAAACAACAATGAGCTACCACCTTACACCTGCACTGACAGCCAAATACAACAAAACAGAAAATAACAAATGCTAGAGATGCTGTAGAGAGCTTAGAACCCTCCTCCTGAGATGTAAATATGAACCAAGGAAAGCAATACGGTGCCGCCTCAAACACTAGAAATATAAATTCTATACAATTTAACAATCCTTCTGTTGGGAATACATGCTAAAAAGTAGGAACCCTAACACTAGCAGACATAGGCACACCCATCCTCAGTGCAACACTGTCCACTATAGCAAGAAGATTAAAACCCTAAAGGCCCACCAGTAGGAGAATGGATAAAGACATTCTGATGCATACACACAATGGAATCATTATGCATCATTAGAAAACAATGATGAAAATATGAAGCACTTCATGAGATTCAGGGGTCCTCAAACCACAGCCCACGGGCCACATGCGGCCTGCTGAGGACATTTATCCGGCCCACCGGGTGGCTTTGCCCTGTTTTGTTTTTTACTTCAAAATAAGATATGTGCAGTGTGCATAGGAATTTGTTCATAGTTTGTTTTTTAGCTATAGTCCAGCTCTCCAATGGGTTTGAGGGACAGTGAACTGGCCCCCTGTTTAAAAAGTTTGAGGACCCCTGATAGATGGACCTGGAGAACATCATGCTGACTAAAGTTAGTAAGTCAAAAGGACAAATATTATATGAGTTCGCTGTGTGTGGCAGTTACATAATCTCCTGTCAACTTCAGGGTATTAAGAGTGAAAGGGTGGAGTCTAGCCTGTCAATCAGGTCATAGCCAATGTGGCCTCTGGGTGAGCATGGCCTTCTCCAGAGGATTCTGGGAACTACTATCTTCCTCCCTAGGGGTGCAACACACACTCTTGCTGGGAGACATTCTTGTTGACAAGTCACATGGAGCTACGCTGATGGAGCCAGAGCCCTAGAGGTGGAGGAGAAATGTGGAGACACGAGCCAGTATTGGGATGTTTCCACCGCCACTGGATCCACAAGACTTTCTACCCACTGGCCTGTGATCTTCCTGCATTCAGCATCATTGCATGTGCTGTGTGAGTCTAATAAGGAATTTATGGACTTGTATTGGACATATTGGCTAATATAGGACTATGGACTGGATCTGGACTGGCCTGGGATGTTTTCTTAATATATAATTACTCTTTGAGATAAAGTTCTTTCTTACACAAATGAGTCTCCCTATTTTTTTTCTCTAGTCTACCCAGAATAACACTGTGATAAAGGAAAAAAAAATCATTTTAAAAATAAAATAAAGACATCTATACCAAATGGAACAGATTTTTGAAACTTTCAAGGGCAGAAGGGAAAGGAGGGCAGATAACGCTACAGGTTTAGACTATGAACATGTGCTAACTTGGGTGACCTGGAAGACAATGGTCCACAGGAGGAGAAAAGAAATTAAGGAGCTGGTGAAGAGTAAACTACTGAGGGGCAGGAGGGGTGGTGACTAGTAGTTTGTATTGTTAATACACAGTTGATGATCTGAAATGTAAACCCCCACCTAATTTACTATATTTTTTACCTTTGAAGATTTATTCTTTAATTGGACACAATTCTTTAACCATAGGACTCCTGATTTCAGATTCCGTATCACACCTGCTTTTTTTTGGAGGGGGGGAGCCGTGAAATGGGAATATGACACAACCAAGTTCAATTATTGGAGAAACTATAGAGCAATTTCAAAATACTTTTGAAAATACTATTCTAAAGTCAAGAGACTTTAGAATAGAAGGAAATTGCAACTCAAACAGGTAGCATTATTGTTCACTGTAGCAGTCCTCACAACGATCAAAAGGGGGAAACACCTCAACCATGTCCATCAACAGATGACTGGATGGGCAAGCCGTGGGCACAATCAATGGAATTACTCTGCCAGAAAGAGCAATAAAGGTCAATGGCACAAAATGGGTGCAACTTAAAAAGAATAAGTTGATCACAAAAAAGACAAATATTGGCTGATTTCACTAACATGGCACACTTAGAATAAGCAAATGTATCGGGCAATCACAGAGGTAAAAAGTGGCTACCAGAGGAGTGAAGGAAGGGGAACAAGGGCACGCTGTGCTTCGCCAACACTGAGTTTCTGTTTCTAAAGAGGAAAAGATGGCCACAGATAATGGTGGCGATGGGAGAGAGTAGAAGGACCCTACTTCTGGGCACCAATCTTTGTGGGAGCACGCAACAGGTTGCACTGAATTGTACCAGTGGATAATGTTGAATTGGCAAATGCTGTGTTATCTGTACTTTTGAAACAATTTTTTAGATGGAAAAAGATAGAATTGAAAGGAGAAAATCAAGAATGCCATTCTATAACATTTCTTTAAGGACACTTTCTTATGCCTCAATTCCTCTGACATTTTATATTCTAGAATTTGGGTGTGTGGCTTTAAGAAAACAAAATTTTCAAGAATCTGTTTTGAAATTTTAAACATACTGTGTTCAATGTTATGGACTATTCGATTCAAATAATAAGCAGTTATGGCCAATAGGATCCATACTTTCGAAAGATTTAGTCAGATACTTTCCCTTTATTTTTTATTTTCCCATTATTTGTATTTTTAATATAAATTCATAAACATATATTTAATTTTCATAATAAAGGCAAGCATAGTGACCCTAAACCATAGAACTAGTTCTCTGATTAGAATATGTTATCAACCTAAATCAAATGTTTTAATGCCCTTAAAGAAAAAAGTATAATGGTTATCAGAAATCAGCACTAAGAGCTTAAAGAAGTAAATGTCTTTTTCTTCCCAAAATACCCATTCATAATATTGGACATTGCTAGTCAACATTATGCTATTGGTGACGCATGGATACGAGACTCCCACTTTCTTTTCTGTGCAGCACAGCCCGGTCTGCAATGTTGGTGTTTTCCTCATTCCTGCTCTTGGCCCATCAAGAAGTTCCAAAACAAAAGAACAAATTTTGTTCGAGTAAAAAAATTATTTTGTATTTAAATAGTCAAAATTTCGGACTTAATACTATACCAATTGGATTTCTATGAAAAGCACATTGGTCTGTAAGCCATAGAAAATACATTGAAAGAACCTTGGACTTGGGTCCTAGCCCATTTTGGCTTCTTGCACATCACCTCTCTGATCCTTGATCTCTTCATTTATAAAATGGAGATAAATTCCTGGGATGTCTAGATCTGGCTTACAGACCTGAGTCGTGACCAAGCTAATCAGAACAGATAAGAGAGCAGTATGTAAACACTGTACCACAAAAAAAGAGGAACTGTTACTAAGTTGATGCCATAATAGTACATGGTAGAGAGATTGCCAAGCACAAAGACTTTCCTATATATTCAAAACAAAATGGAGGCTTTGTAAGGTAAGCACTGGACTGCTAACCATAAGGCAGGGGGTTCAAACTCACCAGCCTCTCTGAGGGAGAAAGATGAGCCTATTTGTTGCTGTAAAACTTTACAGCCTCAGAAACCCTTTTTAGGGTTTGGGTCACTATGAGTCAGAGCCCACTGATGGTACTGGGTTGCATTTTGGCATAGGATAGCCTAAAGTTCAGTGGTTTGAACCCACCAGCCACCCCGTGGTAGAAAAATGAGGTCACTGCTGATTAGTGGAGACTCCATGTGTGTCAGAGAAGAATTGTGTTCCAGTTTTCAAAAGAAGATTGCCTGGCCTTTCCTCTGGGATACCTCTGGGTGGACTTGAACTGCGAGTCTTTCAGTTAATAGTCAACAAAGTCAGCCCCTTGCACCACGCTTCATTTACACATACGTATGAAGCCTTGGTAGTGCTGCTGGGTGAGCACTGGACTGCTAACTGGAAGGGCGACAACTCAACCCCCCAGCCTCCCCACAGCTAAAAGATGAGGCTGGCTGGCTGTGCCTGTAATGATTTCTAATCTTGAAAACCCTATCGAGCAGCTCTGCTCTGTCCTACTGGGTCACTATGGTTCGAAATCAACTCTATAGCAGTAGATCTGGTTTGTTTTACATACACTTAATTGAGGAGCCCTGGTTGCATAGTGGTTACGGATTGGGTTGTCATCCACCAGGTCAGGAGTTTGCAACCACCAGCCGCTCCCCAGGAGAAAGATGAGGCTCTCTCTTCTCGCAGAGAGCTACAGTCTTGGAAAGCAGGGGCAGGTCTACCCTATTCCACATGGTCACTATGAGTAGGCATCAACTCAATAACACTGAGCTTGTTTTTTTAGTTTTAAATTAGTTTAAGGTAACAAAATAAATACGTGGAACCGTTCGATGCTGTGGGGAACACATTTTTCACTTACGGTGTTGGCCCTCCAGCTCATGAGGAGCAGCGGGGAGGAGGATTCAAAAAGTTCACGGAAGAAAGAGCTGAGAGATCATGGAACTTTCCCACAGGAGTCCACACGTGTCCACACCCGCGTTATGTAGAAGGAACAAACGCCAGCATTGACATTAAAAACTCGGATCCAAGACCATTCCGATGAGGGGAGGACTTTCCTTCGGAGGACGTCACTTTTGCTGTGACAGATGGACGGACCGTGGACACGAGACTGACAACTGACGAAACCGCCCGAGCATTTTCACACATGGGAAGAACTGGTGGCATTTTGCACTTGGTATATTTCTCTAGAAATACTTCTGGAATGTGGGGGCCAGATTAAGATACTGCTCGTTTCTCGTTTAAACTCGGCAGTACTGCAATGTTCCCGATGCCACTCTGCCAACGGGTCCTAACTATGGCTACTGAACTCAGGTACTTGGATG